GATTTAGACCTAAATTAAGCATGTAGGGCTAAACTTGGGTCAAACTTGAGCTAGCTTTGGACTAAGCTCAAATTGATTATTATGTTTGGTGTAAAAAATCATAATGAACAATTTTTATGAAGGATGAAAATTGTTTTGAAGTTGATTTGATGGTCAATTTGAATGGATTTTGATGGGTTTGAGATTTAGACCTAAATTAAGCATGTAGGGCTAAACTTGGGTCAAACTTGGGCTAGATTTGGACTAAGCTTAAATTGATTGTTGTGTTTGTTCAAAAATGACCTTATAAAGGATTTTCAACAAAAATTGGATGCCAATTTGAGGCTTAAGACATTCAATTGTTGAGATTTAGGATGTTAGCCAATATTGGGGCTAATTTGGGGTTTTGGTCAAAGATGGTCAAATTGACCAAATTGTACCATGGTGTAGTTAGATAAAATGAAATTGAGAATATTTTGGATTTATTGGGATTTTTTTGAAATTTTTGGAATTTTTGGATTTTTGGGCCATGGAGGGGCATTTTGGTAATTTGTCCATTTTTGTCAATTTTGGCAAATTTGGATGTATTCAAAGTGTTTGGAATAAGTTTTGATCAATTTTAGGTATTTTGGCAAAAATTTGAGAATTTTGGCCAAATTTGGGTCTCAATGGCAGTTAGGTAATTTGGAGGTGTCTAGGGTAAAAGACCCAAATTAGACATTTCAAGTAGAATTGGATAAATATCTATTCTAAATAAAACATGGATCAATAAAATCCCCATTTTGGGCTCTCATATATTGATCTTAGCCAGGGTATTGTGGCGGTATTGTGAAGGTATGGTGTACCTTAGCTCTAAATCAACACCCAGGGTCAATCCTAAGGCCAAGTAGTCCTATCGGAACTCCTCTTGAGTTCCCTCATACTGATCCTACCTACTAAATGCTAGAGGTGAGGACCAATATGTGAAACTTCAAGTTGAGTAAAAAGAAGAGTTTTGAATTTCTAATGGTGAGGATACATTTTCTAGTTTTCTAAGACTAGTCAGTAGGAAAAGTCCTATGGCTAGACCTAGGTTACTAAAGAAGTTTCTAGACCTCAACCAAAAGTGAGGTCAACATGGAGGAAATTGTTGTCGTCAAATTTTTATGTCATGAGTGTAAGGTGTCCCCTGAATTGAGATGATTTGTTGTTTTTTTCTTAGTGTCTCGTAACCCAAGACACTCATATGGGATTTTCTGGTACATGTTCGGGTCACGAAACTAGAATCTGTGATGACTCAGTCTTGCCCGAAAGGGTCCCTCGTTTGGTGGCATCATTTATGATTTGGGATGTGTTTGATGTCATTCTAATGTTTGAAGACCTTATTCCGCCTATTTGGAACCTCCAGTGGTCAAAGGAATCTGTTAAACCTTCCCGTGGACATTTCCAGAAAAATTAGTTTGAATGTCATACCCGTGCGACATTTTAGAGCGCCAATTAGCACAAAAATCCTTTGTGCGAGATCCATAAATGTGTTTTTTTTTTGGATTTATGGGTCTATATTTGAGTCATATTTAGTCTCCCATAGCTTAGGGATCGAGAAAATCCTTTGTGGAACACTCGGTTGAAAACTAAGATTTTCTGTGCTAAAATTGCACCTAGACGCCAAAACCTGGTACCCAGACACCCAGAACAATCCCCAAGGGTCCTAAAAATAGAGAAGACAAAAAGTAAGCATTGGCCCCTGGTGCCTAGGCGTTGGGCCCAGTGCCTATGCGTCAATTTCTGTAAAGTAGGATGTTAATCCCTAACATGAACCCGAATTCTTCCGACTTCAAATTTTATCTGACGACTCCACTTGGGATTCCTTCCCTCTCTATCTTTGGTTGTCCTCATACATCAATGATCTGACTTGTGTCCCATACAAGCCAAATCACCCTTCTTTCGTCAGGTATAATTTGCCCACTTCATTCTTTGGCAAAGTACGACCAACATTTCTTCAATTATAGAACGGTTCATTCAAACACTCTTAAATGAACAGGTCCTAGAATCTTAAAACTAGGGGAAAAAAACTTTTGATAAAATGATGACAATTCAACACAAATTTTGACAAAACATAAACAATTAAAAATTTGATTCAACCTTTTTCCAATCTTGAAATTGGGACTGAATCATCTTGCTGAAACTTTGTCCGTAGCGACAAAGTTTAAAATGAAAATTCTCAAAAAAAAAAAAAATACAAAATGCCTAGTTTACACAGTAGGTTATAAAATACAAAATGGAGTTCCGAGGACAAATGAGGCTTAACATTTTGAATTCCTTCAAATCACAATAATGGACTCCCTGAATCTAGTATTTTCATTTACTCGAGGACTAGATCTACCTACAGACAATAATGTTCATTATCAGGAAAAGGAATTCACTTAAAGCTTATTAAGTGTCTTTCATAAATGCCGAGACTTCTAATAAAGCAGTGTACCAGGCTCCACCACTACTCAACACTTTGTACCGAATCAACTCCCCCTTCACTGCATCCAACCGCACATCAAGCCTTAAATAAAGATCCACATCCACCAGCCAATACACCCAGCCCATCTTCGCAGTTAAACCAAACTCATAGCGTACCAGGCAGTTATAAGAAGTGTGGTCCAAACATGAACGAGATCACCTAAAACAGACGAATGAAACCGAACATACAAAAAGCCGCAAACCTAACATTTCGGATCACATCGTTCTCCTCCTCTTTCACATAAATATATTACCCACTCCTGCTAATTTTGGTGCGAGATTAGATGGAGTAAACAAACTGTTATTTCCGTTGGATATCAAGTATTTTTGGTGTGAAAGTTGTAAATATACTATTTAGTGGGAAATATGTAATTTCATCAATTTTGAGTGATGTGCACGTAAATTTTTTATTTTTTTAAAATATTGAGAGAAAATTGCATCATCACATGATCTAAGGACTCTTAAGGCTTCATTTGAAACAGCATACAAGTTCTGTTTGATTGGAGCAAACATGAAAGCTTATAAAAAAATTCTTTTGATGAAAAGTGAAAGACGAACAGCTCCTAGAATTTTATGTAAAATGGGGCCACCATATATATTTTCATGATCGAAAAGGCAACGAAAAACCTAACTTTCAGATCTAAGGAAACCTTTCGAGAAGAGGCAGAGGAAGGAAGATGAGAAAAATATTTAATACCCTTGCCTTATCTAAGCTGCATGCCATCGCGGTTTCTCGCTGCTAAGACACAAACCCGACAACGGACACGAAATCCGAATCTGGCTCATGGACTCGAGCCGGCAAGTTAAGACTACCGATCCTTGTCCGATTCCGATTTCGTGTCTAGCGAGGCCTGTTGGGTAAACGTTTCGTATCAGGCAAGCAACTAAAGTGTTCCGCATGAACATTGGAGCTTAAGGAGTTCAATCATGTGGGCAAATAATGAACGTTCACGATTGTTGCACTGCACGAGTATGGACGGCTAATATTTTGGTTTGGAGCAGAATATAAATTATATATATTTATTCTCGAGTTATATTATTTACCTTATTTTTTTATTTCCAGTTTTGATGCAAATAATGCTGACCAACCAGCCATTTTCTTTAGCTCTCTTCGATTCCTCCCCCAGCTTTCCCTGCTCACGGCTCCGCGTTACCGAGGCGATTTCTTGGGTTAGGGTTTGTCTCTCTCTTGTTTCTCTGTTTCTTGTTCATCGATATAATCGATTCTTTGCTTCATATGGGTTGGTGTTTTGGCGTGGAAGGAAGGTTTCATGTCTGATTGATGTTGTTTCGCCTGATTGTTTAGGTTTGAAGCAGGAATCAAGCGTGGGCTTATAGGAGATCGGTAACGGAGGAGGAGCAGAGGGAAGGGAGCTTCTGTGGCAAGAACAGGTTGGTTGGTTTACTTTGGCTTTTTAATTAATGTTTTTTTTTTTTCTGTTAGCCGCCGAAAAAATGTCTTCTGAGCTACTAAAAGGGCATTCTATTTTAGGAGAACTAATATTTTATCTTCTAATTGCAACTTGTACACTGGATATTGCTCGGTTAGGGTTCTTTTTCTCTCTAGTTTCCATCTATTTTAGGAGAACCCATATCTATTTTTGCCCCGTTTTTCTTATCTTGGATGCTCAGCAAGGCAGATGTGTTTTGCGATTTTTAGTTGTGCATATTTGGTTCGTTTCTTGTTGATCATTTTCGTGGCTAAAATTAGAATTTTCTGTATTTTGATCTGCGCCTCTGGCAAGCAGAATATATTGGTTACTTGTTTTGTTACCTATTGGTCTGAGATATATGCTATTCCTTTTGTTAAAGTGTTTCCTTCTGTTGTAGAAAGCTCGAACCTTTGTTTATGTCAAGTAAAGATGGCCATGTGATTATTCTGTGTTTGTTGCTTGCTATTGTATCTGCGTCCTGGGATTCCAACTAATATTTGTTTATCTACAATTATTTTATACGGAAACTATATAATTCTTCCTTATTGGGGCTATTCGTTGGATTCTCAACTTTCATATTTAAAGCCGTCTCCTTTTTAAAAGGTGTTCTATGTATACCGAAATTATAAATTTTTGTTGTTGTTCATGTTAGATATGGAGCATGATGAGGCTGGATGCCAAGCATCAGAAAGGCCTATCCTTTGCATCAACAATTGTGGCTTCTTTGGAAGCCCCGCAACCATGAACATGTGCTCCAAGTGCCACAAAGATCACATTTTGAAGCAGGAACAGGCTAAACTGGCTGCTTCATCCATTGATTGTGCAATGAATGGTTCTGGAAGTAGCAGTGTTCAAGATCTGCTTTTTGATGGCAATTTAGACTTATTAGCTGATGTAGTCGAGCCTAAATCTGCTGTCTTACAGACTACCAATGATATAACCTCAACTAATGGCTGTGAAGGAAAGGCCAAAGAAGGCCCCAACAGGTGCAGTGCTTGTAGGAAACGTGTTGGGTTAACTGGTTTTAGTTGCCGCTGCGGTAATCTATTCTGTGCAGCACACAGGTATTCCGACAAGCATGAATGCCCGTTTGATTACCGCACCGCAGCTAGGGATGCGATTGCCAGAGCCAATCCCGTTGTCAAAGCGGAGAAACTAGACAAGATATAGTACACTGATGATGAGTTCAGAAAGGTATGATTTGATGCACATCCTTGTGCCTAATACTTTTATATCGCCTCTCATCATCATTGTTCTATGTTGCCATCAAGGTTGGATGTCTTGTGCTTTGGGTGTCTTAGTCCTATGAACTCAGTCCTTCTGATTTGGAAAAGTGGTTTCTGTGTTGCTGCATGTATGGGCTTGTTATGAATTGCTTGGTGGTCTTTATTATTTAAGCTCTGACTTTGATCATGTTATGTCTTCTCGTGGCAGGTTGATTATGATGTTTGTTTTTGATAAGAATCTTCTTTTAATCATTTTTATTTCTGCTTTTTATTTCTCTGGTTTGTTGTGATGCGCTTCATGTTTGGCTCTTTCATGTTCAGCTTCATTTTGTATTCATCTCATCCCAACTGTAAAGAGTACACGATCTTTCAGTTGTTTTAACTGTCAGAATTTACTAAATCCATTACAATTCAGCTGAGTTTATGCTTTGAAAGCTTATTCAAGCTTTAGGTTTGTGTTTGGTTGCTCTATCTGACAATCTAAATCTTTCACGAGATTGTCTAAAATCTAAACTCTTCTATCTTTTTTATTTAGATAAGATCTACAGGGAATTTTTTTTTTCTTAAAGTTTCTATATCTTGCTCTTTCTAGACTGTTGGAGTATGGTGTTGGGAAGAATTGAAATTGATTGCAATGTTTGAAGCCATCTAACTACCAGGAAAATTCATTTTCTAGTACTTTGTACCAATCTTTTAGTCTAAATCTCAGGTTTTAATTTTTTATTTGAGTTTATAGTCTTCTGCCTTATTTAGTTTAGTCAAAGCTATTGAAGTCTCTTTTTTTGGTGGGGTTGTTGCCTTTTATAGGATTGTCTATTATTATTTTTGTTGATTGGTTGACCTTACTTGAATTCTGAGGTGCATTATGAAGTAAGATTAAAGTGACATCGAGCTTGAAGTTTTACTTGATTTATGTGATAGTTAATTTGGTTTTATTTGCGCCTACACAACTTAATGAATTTTTGAACTTTGGTTGCTTATGTTTTTTTTGCCATAACATCATGCATCCGATGGTTTATTGATTTTTCTATGCTTTCTTTTTAAAATTTAATATATCTACATTGTAGGCTAAATATTTTTGGTGGAGTCTGAAAATTGTAGCTTTATACACTACAAGGACGAGAAACCATATTTCTTGCCACTGTTGATTATCTTTACATTAAGGGTTCCTCTTACCCTTGATTTAGTGTTTGCAATAAGTTTGTGGTGATATGTCAGCTTTATCAGAGAGTTCTTCCATTGCGGTGGATTTTGTTTTCATTGGCTTGTAATGGCATCTCCTGTAACATTTAAGTTGGAGAAAAAAGATTCAGCGTGTGAAATTTTCATGCCTTCCTCGTGAGTTTTATAGCCTTTAAGGAATAAAGGGCATTTACATACATGACACCCAATTCCTATCTATTTACATATCTGACATCTCCTCTCAAAGCTTTCATCTCACATAAAAAATGAATACACCTTTTAATGCATTGTAAGATGGCCTGCATGTATAAACTGAAGTTTAGGTGTTAGATATGTAAATACACAATAATTGAGTGGTTTGTATGTAAATCTTCCATGAGTTAAATATAGATCTTGATTGATTAGACATTTATTTCCATATATTTAACTCTACTCAAAGCTGATTTAAATGCCACATAATTAATCCTGAAGTGGTTTGATAAGAAATTTCCCCATTTTGAAATTTTGTGGACTTTATTATGCTATTAATTTCCAATGTGCCAATGCCAATTAATGTTAGCTTGCCGACTTGTTTTTTGGTGGCTAGTGGGGAAAAGATAGACGGAAGATTTTCATACATACCACTTAATTCATTTGTATTTACATACCTAAAACTTAAACTTGTATTTTACACAAATACCATCTTATCCATGCATGAAAGGGTGTATTTCACCTTTTAAAAGTTAAAATAATTATATTTTCGCTGTGATATAAAAGATTTGGGCGGTATAAATGTAAAAGAATAAAGTTTAGGTTTTAGCTATGTAAATATATAGGAATTGGGTGGTCTGGTCTGTATGTATTAGCTTTTGTTAATCAGTCGCTTTGGTGATTCAGGTAAAGGCATCATGCTTTTGTTTTACATTTTCTACACTTTTTTGGTGATTCAGGTAAAGGCAACATACTTTTGTTTTACACTTTCTACGCTTTTTAGAGGACCACACACCGAAAATAGATGGTGCTTTTTCGTGACTTTATCTTTTAAGATGTTGCTGCCCAATTCATGATTTGGAAAGGCTTAAAAGGTGTCTGACGTTATTAGAGAGATGAGACAGGTCATGTATGGGTGTGAATTTGGTTGGTTTGGATGCTTTAGATAAATGTTTAATATGTAAGATTTATTGTTTTTGGATGTTAAAACATTTGGACCCAACCTATACAAAATTATTTAGAATTAAAGTAGATTAAGCAGCAAATTTGCTCTGTTTTATTAGTTTGTTTTTGGATAAATTTGATACAGTTGAAAATTATTTGTGTAATTTATAGTAATTATGCAATTATGCTTATTTAATTGTATGCAATAAGCAAATTTAAGAATATATAATTAGAAAATCAATGATTTTTTTTTATATATTTGTGAAAATATATTTAAAATCATTCGGTTACTGACCAGAATAATGCCTAGAAAGTTGCTTAAGACATATTTTACTGCATTTTGAGATCAATCAAAATCAAACAATTGGATAATAGTTCTTAAAACAATTACACCTATCGTGTTCAAAAGTTAAATCAAGTAAGCGTATAAATCCAAAATAGCTAATATAGCTGTTATTTTGGCGATTTCTTGAAGTTCGAAGGTTGACCCTCTAGGTTTTGAATACCCTTTTGATATAGACATGTTCTAAATCTTAAGAAGATTTTGTTTTTTTCATCTATTTACATGGACATTATATTTAAGAATATACATTCAAAATGTATAATTGTAAGTTAAATTAAGTTTAAAAAAAAATGTGCTATTTGAAGGTTGAGAATGTGTCCATGCTTTTCTTTTTATTATTTCTATTTTTATTTTTTGGCGCGTTCTTGAGAAGTGAAGTCCCGTTCGGCACTGTCTTCGACTCTGAGAAATTGAGTCCTACTTCATTTCCCAATAATGTATATGATCCTATTAGTTAAGAAACATCCTTTGCAGATTAAAGTTCATCGTTGAAACATTTTTCGATGTGGGGTGTAACATATAATGTGGTCATGAAAAGTTGTTCACGTCAACGTGTCGAGCGTGATTGTAGTGGGGTTGTTTTCTCGCAACCTATTTAGACATAGTTTTTCACAATTTCTTCTAGACTTGGAGGCAATATTCACTGCAATATTGAAAAGTTGCTCACGTAACGTTTCAGGCATGCCTGTGGTAGGGTAATCATATCACATTGCATTCAAACAATAAATCTTTGAAAATTGCTCCTAAATTGAGGGCAATCTACATTGCAAATAACATTTTTTTCAGCCTCCCTTATTGTATTGAAGTTCCTCTTCAACGAGATCAGGAAATTGATTTTTTTAAGGCTTAATGCATTGGTTGATTTACATGCTCGTGTGGAAAACGCCTCCACTGAGGAGCAATAGATTCAAAAGCAGCAACAATCATATTTCTAAAAAAATGATCCATTTCAATTTATGCCTCGTCTTAAGATACACAGAGCATCTTTGACACTTCACTCTAGGCTTAATCGATCCAGATGACTCAATTCGATCTCTATAATCACAGACTACGGTTGTCATGTAACAGCTTCAACTAACAACATCAGATAGGTCAAAATCTTTTGTTGATTTTATTCGACTTTTTTTATAACATGTTACGGTCATCAAATAAAAGCTTCAACCAACAACCTAATAAGATAGGATAACCATCCTTGGTGGATTTTGGATGACTTTGTCTATTACATGTTAATGTCATCGAGTGTTTTCATCCATACAACCCGGAACAGGTATGAGGCATTACATCCTTAATGGATTCTCCTTTCAACTTTGCTCCAACACGGTCTATAATCGTCAACAAACATGCTTAGACTAACAACTTAGTAAAGAACATACATTCGTAGTGATAGACAAGCTCTCCAACCATAACCTTATAAGTCAAGCCCAAGAGGCAAAAATTGATAAGAATGAATAATATCCCTGTAAGTTGAGCCTAGCAGACAAGACTTTATAGAAAGTTAAAGTGCTCCTAGAAAACAAGCTAGAAGGCAAGTCTCGATGGGAAGCTATCATGCCCATGCCATTCGAGTAGAAGAGGCAATACTCGATGCGAAAGTACCCAAGAGGAAAGTCTGGATGGGAAGTTACTTTGCCCTTGAAAGTCGAGCCCAAGAGACAAAATTTGATGGGAAAATACAATATACCTGAAAGTTGAGCCAATGAACCAAAACTTGATGAGAAGCTAGAATGTCCCTGGAAGACGAGCCCAAGAAACTCTCAGAAGTGAGGCAACAACAACCCATAAGTTGGGCGAGATTCTCCCTATATTTTCGCCACAGAAGCACAAAAATCTCTCATGAATAGTGTGGTGGGAAAACTTCAGCATTTGTTCATCACCTCTGGAATGTACGACAAGAATCCCAAAGGAAAACGCGGAGTAAACATGGAATCTCTTTGTTGAAAGGGCCGGCGTCCTCCCTTGAAAGGTGGTGGTACGCCCTTTGTCTGATGAACCAATTTATTTCATGTATTCTCTCTCTGTTTCTCTTATCTGTCATACACTCTATACTGGTTTGCTTTTGTCATGCTCATTTTTGTGGCAAAATTTTTCATGGTTGCATCGAATTTTAAGGATTCATGCTACAAAATCATGTTAGAAATAGTATGTGCGTGTATATATATATATATATATATATATTATCTTGTGTCGCATATCGTGACTCTTTGGTTGGTAGAGTTAGTAAGACTCTTGAGGGCACGGGCTCAATCCCGCCTATGTGCAGAATGAAATTCTTAGACACATGAAGTTGGTTGAGAGGCTCATCTTATAGCCTCTCGCCAATCTATATATATATATATATTCATAAAAGATGGGCAAAAATGTGTCTGTCGACCCCATATGTGCTAATTCGAGCCAAATGGAATCGACCCGGGACCGAGGGGACTTACGCTGAAGCCGCCAACCAACAGGCCATATGTTGTGCATTATATATATATACATACATATATAAATACATATGTAGATGAAATACAAACACATTTAGGTTTATTTCTAAGCATTTTTTCAACTCATGAATACAAAACTTTAATCAAAATGAAACTCCATTTCCAAAAAGATAAAACCCAAAATATGATAGAATAGAGTGCCACATGGCGTCACAATATTCCAACATTTATTACTTTTTATCATTGATCTTTGAAAATAATTGTTCCAATTTGAGATATTATATTTGATCTCCAATTAACAACATTGATTTCAAAATATTGAGATCCACAAAGACACAAGCCCTGGGTGGTCATCACGGATCACTTATCATTGGATGTAATTATTTATCGGGGTTTGCCTTTTTGGAGATCTTATTCTCTAGAATTAAGAAAAAATCTCACCTAAATGAGTAATGAGAGAAATTTTTAGTGGGTCAATCCAATATAAAATAATATTTTTATATTTTGAAGTAGTGTATTATTCTTAATATCATATTCAATTATTTAACTAAGAATCTTCAAATTTTGTGTGGTGTTATCCTTTAATTCCACCATTATTACACACAATTCTAAGAGAGCTTCAATATATTTTTTTCTATCTTTATGCATCACCCTTTGGTCGTGCCAGTAGCTCAACCGAGCTAAATGAGCTATCTAGTTTCTCATATTGAACCCGAGCTACAGTCCTTCGGCTGTACAAATTATAATGCTTTCTATTTTGTAGTTAAAAAAGAATGAAGGGAGGAGCATTTTCTTTTTGTAATAAAGCTATCTCTATTTCCTATTTCTATGCTTTATTTACATAGAGGAATTATGAGATTTTGATGTGATTTGTGAGAGATTTTTTTTTTCATTATTTCATAATTAAATATTTATTAATTTTAAGTTTATACTAAATTATTGCACGATTTTATTGATTGTTTTTGGATATTTAATTTTTATATATTTAATGCCTTTTATATATATATATATATATATATATATATATATAACAAAAAAAAGACATATCCATATATATATATATATATATATATAACATCAAAAAGACATCACTCTGATTTTAGAGAGATCGAACAATCTAGAAGGAATGAGTACAATAAAAGTTGACCCACTACCAGGAAATCATGAAGCCTACTTTATAAACCGAGTGAGGCCATACAAGTCATGCGAAAAAGGTCGAAACTGATCGGGCCACGAGGCAAACAGGAAAGTGATTGTATGATCCAAGCACGGGACACTTGACCAAAAATAAGACCAAAAAGCATTGGAGTCAACCATTACATGAAAGCCAACCCGATGCAATTGCCTACTCTCTAACAAAGTACATCCAAAGGAAGATCCAGACACAAAATATCTCCAATCATCCCATGGATGCCCCAGAGGTTTATCACAAGAGATCAAAGATTGAAAGCTAGGCTAGATCAACCGACTTGCTCATACCGACCAAATTGATCCCATCGACTCGAACCCAACTAAGTTTAGCCGACCGAGCCAAAAAGTAGCCAGACAACAAACCGATTCATGTAAAAATACAAAAATAACTAGTATTGTTTCCCTTGCAAACATATTAAAAAACGTAATATTATCATTGTACCACCCCTATAAATAGATGAAACATTTTGTGAAGAAGGTATGATTAATTACTGTTCATCCCTTTCTCTTTCTCTCTCCACCTCTCTTTATTTATACCATATTCCTTGGGTGTGATTCATAGTGAATCTCAAATTCAACAACCTAATAGTTGTAGTAAGCATGGATCATGTCACAAACAAGAAGAAGAGTGGGTCAAGGAGAAAAACTCCATAATAGAGACATTGAAAATATGGAGTGCACTAGAAATTTCATAGCCTAACAAATCCAAGCGTTGAAGGATTAAACGTTGGAGGTCATGTGAGGTGCACTAACCCGAGAAAAAGATCAACAGCCCCGAGATGAAGTGTCAGCACCGAACGATAGAAGAGTTCCCATAGGCTTGAAGAGAGAAGTTGGCTCCTAATACTTTGATAGTGTTGGGTTGACACTGATCAATCAACATCAATTCGGGCGTACAAAGCTGCCTCATCAGTTAGAGAATGCTTTCTTGTGGCAAATCTCTGAGTAGAGCTTCTGTAACAATTAAAGGTTCTAATGCTAGAGTCCTACAAGGGGCAGACCAATTTAACTGACCACATAGCCACATTTGAGTTGATCGCGTGTTTGTTGAGAATCATCAATGCATTGAAATGTCATATTTTCTTTACTATATCGAGGAAGTCAGCCCTCAGGTGGTTTAATGGATTACTACTGGAAGTAATCACCTTATTCGTTGATTTCAAGCAGATGTTTATGACATAATTTGCTAGTGCCCAATAGCCTCAAAAGAGCTTGTAGGCCATTCTGCAACTCTGTTAGGGACAGAGCTAGAGTTTGTGCTCATTCATCACCCACTACTAAATGAAGATGTTAGAAGTGTGGGACCTGAAACCTACAGTGGCCCATGTTGATGTAGCTCAAGGGCCAAAGGAAGGACCCTTCTAATACGCGGTAGGTTTGAAGCGGTTGAAGATGCTAGAAGAGTTGTTGAAGTTGACCAACGAGCACATATTCACAGGGTAGTATAACGCCAACCCCTTCTCTTTCAAACTAGAATCCTCCACTTGTCACCTGAAGGAAAGGATCACCTAAGAAGAAGGGTGAAGATCAAGATACAATTCATATCCGTCCACCCATCTTCGATACAAAGACGCTTATCTGCCTTAAGATCATAGGATGATTGATAGAATGCACCACCAAAGGATCTGATATCCTCTCCAGTGTCTAGCTCGGTATGTCGTGCGTCCACCACATAACCGTGAAACCCCCAAAACAACTCTGTTGAGAGTTTCAATAGTTGAGGAAGTAGAGGCCATATAAAATATAGAATACTTTAAGAGAGCGCCTCCAATGAAGACTGAAGCTCACCTCCGTGATCCTAAGATCCCAAGAAATACCGTGCCTATCATCATGACCACGACCATGACATAGATAACTACAGACACCTCTGGAGCTTAATCACAAAGTTAATCAAATTAGAGAAATTGAAGGAATGTATGCGACCAAAAGCAACAACCCAGTGGTAGAGGAATACTCCAGTTGAAGAAATATCAGACGAGTCAGTCCAAGTCCATAAAATATATATCGCTGGTAGTTCATGCCATCATTGGAGGGGATGAAGACTTATTCCACCGAGCCAACCTTAGGAAGCTTCGATCGAGAAAGATATATCCAGAAACCCTGGCACCCGAAACATAACTCACATCCTCCCATAATCTTTACTAGTGATAACTTGCCCTCAAAGGGTAATCCTTAAAATGACACTATTATTGTGACGTTGCTAACCACCAATTACCATATCAATAACATCTCATCGTCATTAGCAGCTCAATGAACATCGTCTATAAGTCGGTGTTTAATAAGATGTGCCTCAAAAGTGAACTACTAATTATTGCGAACATGCCACTGTGATTTTTCTAGCAAGATAAAGGTGGTGTTGGGAATCATCAATTTATTGGATACATGGGGAGAAAAGGACAAACAATTCACCAATATTGTATACTTACTTTATAGTGATCAACTCACCATCTACTCACAACTCTATCTTTGATTGTCCCCTGCTCAACTCTTTTAGGGCCATCACATCTACGTATCATGAAGCTATGAAGTTTTTCGTGTGAAAAAGTCATAGTCATTGTTTGGGGCAATCTCGAGTAGTCTCACATATGTAATCTCTTGGCAATCATAAGCATCTGACAGTAACCCCTTGAGCTCGACAACTTGCTAGAAGAGGGTCTCAAGACCAGCAGTACAGACCATCATATCCTTGCGACCGAAGATCTAAACCGATCCATCTCAAAATATGGTGATAAGTGCGCCACTTTATTCAAAATATTGAGGCGAGCTAAGAATTTTATCTGGTAAGATGAATGTGAATAAAAATCAAAAAAATTGAAAGACTCCATAGCATCACAACCACTCCTTCAAAGCTCAAAGCCTAAAGCTAAATGAAGAACTCTCTTTGTACTTGGGAGTCCAATTAGAGGCCAATTAGGAATGAGAATGAGTGCCATAGCTCCCTATTTATAAGAATAAAAGGCATCAAAATCAAGGGAGTTCAATCATCAAATTATTAATTAAAATTAAATGTGATATACTCTTACATTAAATTATATTGTTCTTATTGCAGCGTCGCTTCCAAAAAATAAGAAAATCAAGAAATTAAAATATGCACATCATATAAGTGTCAACATTGATCTTAAAGAGATCTGGCAGTCTTGAAAGGAAGAGTACAATGAAGGCTGACCCATTACCAGAAAATTGAGGCCTACTTGACTGACCGAGCAAAGCCACACGAGTCAAACTAATGAGGCCAAAACAAATCATGCCACAAGGCGAACAAAAATACAAGTAGATGATCCAAGCACGAACCATCAACCATAAATGAGATAAAAAAGCATCTAAGACAACTACTACATGAAAGTTGACCCGATGCGATAGCCTACTCTCCATTAAAACTGATCTAATGGAAGATTCAATTCCACACTATCTCCAACCATCCTATGGACGCCCTAGTGGCTCCTCATTAATCATCTTGAAGCTAGACAAGAGCAGCAACCGACCCATACTGACCAAGCTCAGCGACCAAGTTGATCCCGTCAACCCGAAACCAACTAAGCTTAGTCGACCGAGCCGGAATGTAGTCAGCCGACAAGACAATACATGTAAAACTGCAAAAAAAACAAAAGTCCAAATAAGGACCCCTTCAAAACATGAGAAAAAAATATGATATCATCGTTATACCATTCCCTTATAAATAAGGGAAACATTTTGTGAATAAAATATGATTGATTATTATTCTTCTTTCTTTGTTTGTCTCTGCGTAACTTTTTTCTCTTTGTATTCATAAGATGAGATTCACAAATAATCCTAAACTGAAAAAAA